CTCACACACGCGAACACACATACGTACATAATAATATACACACAAATAAAAAGATGCACACACAAACACACACATGCACTCTCTCTCTAACTTTCCTTTTATCACAAACACACACACACACACACACACACACACACACACACACACACACACACACACACACATACACACTCACCACACACACACACACAAATAAACACACACACACTAATACACCAACTCACACTTAGTAACTTCTCCTGACACACCATACTGTTACAACTCACCCAACAACAAACCCCACCAGTTGAGTTTGAGAGACTTCACACCGTTTCTTACTCCACGGAATCTGTCATTCTTCTCACTTTCACTTAACTTTATCCGTACGTCGTGTTTTACTATCGTATCCATGCGACGTGGGGAACTCTGTGCCACCACTTCCAAAGAGGAAATTTACTCGTTAATCCGACCCGTTCACTTTGCACAGCCGTCTGTCAAAATGATTTTTTGAGAAATACAGAAAGTTTCAAAGAGATCTTCGTACTAGAAGTATTCTAAAATATGAAGAATACAACCCCGGGGATACAAAATGACCCAAGGGCGTACTTTCTGCTTTTCATTTTTCTTTAACTTTTTTTGTAGCTTCATCGAGCGCCCGAGGGAAAGAAATGGGAGAGGGGAGTTTATACCTTCTTGTTGATAATGTGAGTGTGCAAGCGAAATTAGACATCCTTTCCAGACAAGGACTGATTGATTGTTGACTGATTGATTGTTAACTGATTTAGACCACCGAAGGCACGGTTTAAATCATTAAATATGAGGAAGGCTATTCGACCGTAACATAAGGGCTAAACCAAATTAAAATGGTTTTCCATCAGAGCAGAAAGACGGACATTCTATAAAAGAACATTATAATCATTTCTTTTGGTTGAAAATCTTTTCCTTTGCATAAAGAGCAAAAAGGGTATAGCCATTGCCTTACAGACACAAATTACGCGTGATAAAGAGCGGTTAGATCTCAACGTTTTTGCAGAGTGCATTTTCCCTTTTGACTGGACAGCGGTCAGTTACGGTTGTATGACTGGAAAAACTGTTTTGTATATACATTATATCATATAAT